GAAGATGAAGGTTCAGTGCTGGAGTGATTTGAGAACATACGAGAACGAAGGGGACGCTGAAAGTTCAGAAAATAGTGGAAGTAACAAATAAGTTATGCGAAAAAAATTACAAACAAAGTGTACTAGTTACTAAAGGTACAGAATTTATACAGTTTTTATTCAAACTACCTTCTTCTCCTTCTTCGCAGGGATCGCCTTCTTTTCCTCCTTCATAGGAGCCTTTTGTTCCTGGGTCGTTGAAAAGTCCAAGGTTGCGTAAATATGCTCATCGTCGACCAACGCATCCTGCAAAGGGTTTAAGAAGTCACATTCACTTTTTAAGAAATTAGCGACTGATCAAACGCAAGCCTCACCCGCTTCCTCATTTTCAAAACAACAAGAAGAATCCGTAACAAACCTGCACGATGGAGTATTCGGGGGCGATGTCGACCATTTCCGGTGTCGCAAGAGGTGCTGGTACCGGTACCGCATGCGGGATCGGTAGTTTTAAAGGGGACATCATCGGAGCCACCCGTCTGCGTGGGCGGACTGCAGATGCCGCTGAACTAAAAACACAAGCCATCCGCTATAGAGCTATAGAGGTGGGCAGCTGTCGCGACAACTCATCCCGACTTACCTGTAACTGATACTCATCGCTGAATGCGAGTTTCTCAAGGTTGGTGCCGACGCAGCTGAAGTAACCCGCTCTAGTGGACCTGTGGAAAGCGTAGAGTCGCCGCTGGCTGAAGAGTCCGAAAGCAGTGTCCCGGCTGAGTCTAAGAGAGCGAAAAAAACAATAGCGAAGAAGTGTAAACAAAAGCGTAAACACGAGATCACATCACACTTACGACTTGTCTTATATGTGCCGTACATGCCGCTGCTCTGCGAATCTTTGCAGTGGTCAACCTTATGATGTGTATTAAGCTGTTGCTTATAGTCGTTGAGAGTCGAATACGGATCACTGAATGCAAGAAACTGAGCACATAATCAATATATCGATTATTGATAGTCGATAAATTGTATCTTAATCATGGGAATGACTCAACATGACGGAATCTGCAATGAGTTTTGAGAGAATCCCACTTCAAATCGCTCAAGTGTTTGACGCGCTCAGCGCAAACGCGGATTCATAAGTGTACGCGCTACCGAACAACGCTGTCTTTTGCACGTCTACGACACGACATTTGACATCATCTCTGTCATCACAAAATTCTCACCACTTTTCAACGCCATTTTCTTTGAGATTTGTGTAGAGTAGAGGCATACAAGGAAGTGTCCAAGACTATG